TCGAGGTCTCAGAATTGCCATATTTCCTTCTCGTGGATGCTTCCTAGCAGCTGTTCCAAATATTTCCCGTTGACTGAGAACAAGGTCTTGGCCCCTACTTCACTGAGAAAATTGGGGTCAGCCGTTCACATTGCATCACCCCCCTCCTTCTGCCTGTCAACACTCCCTCTTTACCTCTGTAAATGTCTGTCATTACCTAGCGTTTCTCCTTCCTGCCTCTGCCACCTTCCAAAGGAGTACACCTGCGCTTGTATCCCTGCTCCCTCTGGCGACTTCCATCTCTGCTGGGACTTGACTTCCCCCACTGCCAGACACCACTCTCACATTTTTCACTCACATCCTCATGACAGGCTCCCGCTCCTCTGCCTGGAGCACAATGCCCTTGAAGATGTAGTGTCTCTCTTTCACCTCCTCATGCCCACTAGTCCTGGGCATCTGGTTTCCATATCCACCATTGACTGAAAATTGTCCTTGAAAGGTGCCTGATAACTTCTTCTAAAAACAAGTGGTCTTTCAGATGCTCTGCCCTCGAGTCCTCTGCTCATGTGTAATGCCAGCGGGCACAGGGCAGGTTCACTGTGGATTCGGGCAGATGGATAAAGGACAGTCCCGGAGTCCTTGGTGGATTTTTCAGGCTGTACCAGGTTCTCAGGGAACCAGGTACACAGGCACACCAGGCAGGGAGGCTGGCATGCAAGGAGGCAGGCATGGGCTGGCCAGGGGGTACTGGGAGGCAGGCAGGCAACCGAGCCTCCCAGCCCCCCACAAATCTTTACACTTTCTCTGGCATCCTCTCGTCTTGTGGTCTTGCCTCTTCCGTAGTCACTCAAATTCTCGCAGCTGTCTTCTCCTGTAGCCTCTGTCTCTGAGTGATGCCACGCTTATAGCCCTGATCTCCAGGCTCAGGTATGCTGTAGAGTCAGAAATGGACCACAGTGCAGGTTTTCTGATCCCATGCAGACCGGGTAAAGGAGGAGTCAGAGTCCTCAGTGGCTTTCTGCAGGCTTTTATTGGGGTTTAGCCAGTACACAGCAGGCAGGGGTACTGGGGGGGCCGGGAGGCTGGCAGGCCTCACAGCCCCCAGCAGGTCTGGGCTCTCCGGCCTTCTCTTCAGCTTCTGCTAGGCTTCTTGGCTTCTCTTCAGCTTCTGCTTCGGGCTTCTTCTCTTTCGGCTGCTACTGGCGTCCCCGTGACACCGCCCTTAAAAGCACAGTCTTAGCACAGGTGGACCCACTTCAGGTGCCCGCCATCAGGCATGCATTCAGGACCACAGGGTTCCCTCATCTATCCTGATGGCGGGAGGGCAGAAAAGCCTGATTTTTTACCTTACCCTACATGTGCACACTTACGCATGCCCACACTCATACTCCACGTGTCCACAATCAGGCACATGTGCGCCGAGGCCACACTCCCAAGCGCCTTCTGTGTTAACACCATCAAGGCTGCAGGTGATAGCCACAGAGACTTAAGGTGCAAAATACCTGATGAACTCGGTTACCCTACCCATGACTCTTAATTCTCCCTCCTTGCTGTGTCTTCCTCTTGTTTTTTTTTTGTTTTTTTTTTTTTTGCCACCTGCAAAAGGCGTTCTCTCTCCTCTCTCTTTCTGTATGTATATATAATATATATATATTATTTATTTTGTTTTCTTACATTGTTCATTTTTGTACAATAATTGATTTCTCCCCTAAGGCATAGTCCCCATAATTCTCCCACCACAACAGCACCCATGAACCATAGTCTCTTGTACTTGTTCCTCTCCTGTTTTGACCCCTCCCTCCCCCTCCCCTACTGTATGCCTCAGATTTATGGTTTTCCTGCAAGTTTTGTCTTTTTCCTTTCCCTTTGTTTGGTTCCCCTATATTCCACCTCTAAGTGAAACCATCTGATATTTTTCTTTTTCCTTCTGACTTATTTTGCTGAGCATAATCCCTTTCAGCTCCATCCATGCTGCTGCAAATGACATGAGTTTCTTTTTTGATCACTGAGTAGTATTTCATTGTGTATATAGACCACATCTTCTTGATCTATTCATCTGTTTTTGGGCATTTAGTTTGCTTCCGTATCTTAGCTTTTTTTTTTTTTTTTTTTTTTTTTTTGGTGGGACCCTCGCAGGCGGCCGGGAACGAACCGGTGCTGCAGAGGCTGCAGGCAGCCTCGCCCAGCGCTCAACTGCTGCGCCACCAGGGGAGGCCCTGAATCTTAGCTATCTTATTTTATTTTTTTTTAAAGATTTATTTATACAAGCACTGGATACAGTCAGAAGTGTGGGAGGGTGAGAGAATTCACCAGAGCCAGAGCGGGGAGCAGAGCAGGCAGAAGGACCGAAGTACACTGCTGAGGGGAGCAGCGGGCGGCAGGAGAGGTCTGCGCGCCATGTGGGACCCTCCTCCGGTGGCCGGGGAGCAGCCGGGGATCGAACCGGCGCTGCAGAGCTGAGAGGCGGAGGGTGGGGTGGGGGGGGGTGGGCAGCTTTGCAACCCAGCGCTCAACCGCTGCGCCACCAGGGGAGGCTCAGTATCTTAGCTAATTTAAACAGTGCTGCAATAAACATAGGATAGCAGGTTTCCTTTCAAATTTGTTTGCGTGTCCTTTGGGCAGATTCCTAGGAGTGGAATTGCTGGGTCACAGGCAGACCTACCATGAACTAGACTATAATGGAAGGGAAAAGAATCTGAGTACATTACTTGTCAGAAGGGGTAAATATATAATTTTGCTGTGGATCGGATTTCTTTAAAAAGTCTAGAAACTTCTGTTCTAGTCTGCTTTTCTGTACTGCCACGTTGGGAAGTAAAAATCACATTTCCCACACCTCTGCACCCTTTCTAAAATCACAGTAAGACTATCTTCTGAAACCTGAGCCCTCCTCAGAAACTCCCTATGTTGCTAATGGTTCCTCCAGGGTCCCATTCCTTGTCAGTGATGCCCCCTCTTGCTCTACCCTCACCACAGCAGCCACAGGGTCCCACTCTAAGCATCCAGCATGCAGCTCCCATGCCACTCTCCTTGCTTCAGCTGCACCTACAGAGATTGCTATTCATGCCCAGAATATTTCTATAGGCTTCTAAGTATTCTCTGTCCAACTTCAGTTTCACGAAGTTCCCTCCAGTTCAATTATCCTAAATTGTCACTTATAACCTAGCTGACCTCAGGCATATATAAAGATGGGTGAAGTATATATAAATAGACTGGCACAAGTTAGAAACTCAGGTATTGTTAGCTTACAGCCTCCTAATTCTTCAGATACTCTGCTACCAAGTCTTCCAAGGCTCCCTGTTGCTTGCTGAATAAAATATCTTAACTCGACAGCCTTAGTTCTCCAAGGGTCTTTTAACTTGGCCACAGCCTTCTATTTAAGCCTTTATTTCCATTAGTCCCTGTCCCTGTCCACTTTCCCCCGAGTTCATCTCCCATGAACATGCACATTCCTGTCTCTGTGTTCTTTCCCAGGGGGATTCCTACTGCCTGCTAGGCCCTTCTCAGTGTACCTCTCATTTGCTGCCACTATAATAGTTTTACAAGAGGGGTACACAAGACCACCCTCCCACTGGTGGCCCCACCAGAGACCCACAGAAGCAGACAGATTCAAACCTAGGTGCAAGGTTAAGCATCACTGAAACGGCCTGTGCAGGGCCTGTGCAGGTAACCAGCTCCCCAGGACCCAGTGCAGAAGGGGGTGTGTGGACCCATCTGTAGTCAGGTGGAGATTTAAACCTCAGCCCACCCTCTGACTCTCTTTGTAGGGTCCCTGACTCCCCCATTACGACCTAAATTTTCCTGCCCCTCTGGCTGGGCTGCGTTCCAGAATCTCTCTAATACATCTACTGTAGCCCCACATCTACGACAGATTATATCCCTTCTCAGCCCTCCCACAGTCCCCCAGGGTCCTTCTAGCCCCCCTGCAGTTCTGCCCTCAGCCCTGGACCAGCCCTCACCTGAACTTTTCTGCCAAGGTGGGGTGCTCTCTCCTCCGGGAGACAGGAGTTCTGTTTCAGCAGCCACCCTCCCTTGCACAAGCACGTGCCCTCTTGGGCTCCTGTCCCCGGCAGAAAGCCCATCCTCGGCTTTTCTCATCTGTCAACTGTGGGGAGCAGCATGGTCAATGCGGGTGGTTGTGAGAATTAACTGCAGTTTAACTAGTGAAGTCCTGGTTAGCCTAAGGCCAGAGGGTGAAAAGTGAGGACTCTCAGGGGAGTGGGCTAGAATACATTTTCTTTGACCTAGACTGGATATAACGATTTATTTTTAATTGAAAGTGCACACAACACATACATACCCTCCAGAACTGATTCTCAAAAAATCGGAAGGTCCAGAATCATAGGGCCTCTTCTTTCAGAAGACAGTTATGGGCTGTTGATAAGTACTGGTTGTGCCCAACTATGGACAGTTTGTTGTAGCCTTCCCCAGCCCTCTTACCTGACCCTCTGGGCACAGGGTGGCATCCCTCACTCCTGTACAACTGCAGTTCTCACTGGCAGCCGTCTGGGACTCCACCATCCTGGCACTTCAGCTTTTCCCTTGGAATCCCCCTCTCTGATCTCACCAGGATCCAGCAACAGTGGGGGGCATCTCTGGAACCCTTGTCAGGGCTGCAGGGCAGTTGATTGGTTGGTGTCTCTGTGGACCAGTTAAGTACTTTGAGCAACATCATTGCCCCATGCTCCCCCCTGAGTCCCCACACTGAGAACAGGGTCTGACAGAGTAGTTGTTGACTGACTCACCCTGCCTATCTTCTCAAAAATGTTAGTTTTCACTTCTTCACCTCACCTGCACCTTGCCATCCTGCACCTCGCCCTTTTACGTAGCTCTCTCCCCACCCCTCAATCCATAACCAGCCACGGGGCGGGGGGTGGGGTCTGGTGGTGCCCCCTGGCCAAGCGCCTCAGCAGGCAGCAGGCCTCTCCTAGGAGTCAGTGGCAGGAACTACAGATGGTGCCTTCTGCCCGTGGGCAGCCAAAATGTAGTCATGCACCAGAGACCAACGTGGGTGTAATCAAAACCATTTTATTTCTCAGACAATAGAAACAAACAGAACAGCCATCTCAGTCAGGACATAGAAGGACCAGCAGGGAGCAGGCAGATTGCAGGAGCTGCGAAATGGTATAAATTAATGAAAACGATCTTGCTGGCACTCCTCGCTGCCCGCCCGCCTCCTTGGATGGTTCTAGCAAGTGCCTTTCTGGGCCCCAGGCACGTAGGGACCATCACTTGTCACTTGGGGAGGGCAAAAACTTGGGGAGTTGATAGCAGAAGGGAGTGTCATTAGTTCTTTGAGAAGTCGAATGATTCAGAGGAGAATGAGGAGGAGGTAGAGGGAGCTGACAACTCTGGGTCTGCGCAAGCTCAGGATGGAAATGTGACGTTCGGCTTAAGGAACTGCGGAACTGGGAACTGCGAGGCTGAGGCTCCCGTGTGAGGGCTGTGTGGCTCCCAGCTGGGTGACCTTGGGCAAGTCACCTCACCTCCCTGCACCCCAGCGTTCACATCACAGTGGACTAGGCTAGCGTGCCTTCCTAGTCCCCGCCAGTGGCAACAGTAGGTGGTCTCCACATTCTTTCACGCACCTGCACCTCCATTTCCTCTGTTGAAATGATCTGGCTTATGTATCTGCTCCTCTGAAGCTGGGACGGCCTCCTCAAGGCCAGGGAGCATTCAGTTTTCCTTTTGGACCATGATGTCCCAGGGGCATGGGAGGTGCTGAAACGGAGACACCCGCCCCCCAGGCAGTACCCCGCCCCTGCCACTTACCAGGGCCGGTGGGGGAGGACAGTGGAGTCACTGACTTTGACTGGATCTGTGTGGGTTCAACCCACTCAGGATGAAAAGCTGGTCTGGAAGCCCCAAAGATGCCGCCTAGGTGAAGTGTGCCCAGGAAGAGCTGTGGAGGGAGGGCACCACGTGTGCGGTCTGGGTTGACACGGAGCTACCAGCCCTTGGACATCATTTTGGATTTTATATTCACATGTCACTTTAGGTTAAACAAACAAAAGGCAGATGGGAAAGTTCCCCCCCAGCTCACCCAGAGGCCTCTCACTTTGGCCATGAAAACTGAGCACGGCTCCCGGAGCCTGGGCAGTAAGCCCTACTGGCAGCTGGTTTTGGAAAACGCTGGGGAGCCCTCGGCCTGCACCCCAGGGCCCATCCTCTCCACTTGCTGTTTCCTTTGTTGGGGCAAGGGTCTGTGCAAAAACTCAGCTTCTCCACCCAGGGAACCAGGAAGAATGGGGCGTGGGGCGAGGCTGGCGGGGAGGGGCGGACCCAAGTGGGGACAGGGCCAGCTGCGCAATGGCAATTGAAGAGCTGTTTTTTAATCCTCTCAGCAGGAGGCCCACCAAGAAGGAAATGAAGTGCACAACTTCCCCCAAGGCTCCTCGTAGTCCCCTGTTGCCCAGCAGCGTGCTGGGTGGTGAGGGTGTCCTTCATGATGCCGGCTTTATCCTTGAGGCTCCAGTAAAACCCAAAGCCGGGAGTCACGGCCTGCTCCATAGCGAGCAAATGAATGAGCAAATAAACAGATGGATGAATGACCAGGAGGGCAGCTGAGGATTCGAGAGGGACTGTAAAACTGCCAGACTCCTCCTGTTAATGCCACTTTCACTCTTGCTGAAGAAAAACACTTCTTAGCTGAGCAGCTAAGAGAAAAGCCTGTAGCGAAGGAGGGGGGTGGGGAAAATGAAAGAATGAACGGGATTTTATGTTTTGACATATTTACTAAAAAAATGTGGAGGCCTCCCCTGTGGTGCAGCGGGTTGAGCCTGGTGCTGTGAAGCTGTCCCCAGTCGGGGAGATACCCACATGGCGCGGCAGATCGCTCCTGTTTCCCCCGCTTGTCCCCTCAGCAGTGTTTTCGGTCCTTCTGCCTGTTCTGCTCCTTGCTCTGACTCTGGTGAATCCTCTCACCTTCCCAGCCTCTGGCCCGTACCCCAATGCTTGTATAAATAAATAAATCTTAAAAATAAATAAAATTAAAAAATGTGGAAACTGCTTAGCACCTACTAATTAAAGTCAGAACAACCTGAATTCCCTACAACGTGCAAATGCCAGGAGCCGGAAGGATGGTGGATTTTTCCAAAGGAGATTCTGAGCTTTTTCCAATTGAGTGTGGAGGCTGTAGAAGGCAGGAGGGTGGATAAGGAGCTGAGGAGGTGCTAAGAAGGACAGGGTCATTTAACACACGTACCTTCAATTTCTTGGCATCTTTTCTTCTGTGAGAAGCCAAGCAATTTCTTTTCTCACAGATGCCCAGCACTTAGGACAGGGTCTTGGTGACCAGGTCTACCCTCTCTAACTGTGGCTCAGGGGCTGCAACACTGAAGGTCAAAGGACTGGTTCAAGGTCACCCTGTGTTCTTTCTCTGTGCTTAACTGTCACATCTCTTGAGATTCTCCCTCCTCCCTATGTCAGTGTGCAACCAAGGGGTACCCAGAAACCTCTTCCCCCCAACTTGCATCCTCAAAAACTGGGTCCTGCCATCTACCACCTAAAGGCAAAGTGGACTCTTCGCATGAAAGATCTTTAACAGAATTATTGTGCATAGAAAGAAGGATATTTCTCCCAAAAAACACCCCAAATTACCCATCGCCTTGTGGGCAAATGTCCAGCCAAACAGTGTTGGCCCGAAGTAGGGCTGCCAAGACCCATAACCTTGCCACAAGTCTAAGGCACCTTCCGGCAGGAACCATAGGAAAGGGACCAAAGGCACCAGGCATGTCTGGGACAGAAGGAGCAAAATCAAAGTACGAATCAAGATAATGGCTGCCACTATCAACCTCCCCACGTCTCTACCTATTTGTCTCTTTCAAATGTCTCTACACGTCTCTCCTCCACACATCTCCCTCAACTACACTTTGCAACAGTACCACAGTGCCAGCCAGGATCCAGAAGCAAGAGCTCTCCTTCTAGCTCACCCGCCTTCCATGGCTTCCCCTGGCTGCTCAGCTCTGCCAGCGGCTTAAGGAGAAGAATCTGAGTTAAGGAGCCGCCAGGATGGTGCCTCCTTCCCTCCCAGTGTCAGGTAGCAAGTTCCGCAGCAGCTGTGTAGCCTACTGCGTTCCAGCCTCCCTCACCCCGCCTCAGGGGCCCCAGACCCTGCCAGAAGTCCAGATTCCCAGGCCCTAGCAGCCCACTTTCTCCCTCCTCCCTCCAGCAGGCGGTGGTAGCAACTCACCACAGGGTTTCTCTGTTCTTCTTCAGCATCTCCCACTCAGTCCTAAAGTTCCAGCCACAGCTGCTAACCACTGTCCTCAGCCACCTAGCACGGGCTCTGTCTTCCCGTGTAGGCCCTGACCCACAAGGTCACCCGGCTAATCACCAGCTGACAGGATCCCTGAGACTCCTGGGCTCAGGGATCTTCCAAGACGATAGCCCACATCCATCAGGCGCTTGCTAAGCATCAAGGTCTTTCATAGCGTATCTTAACCAACCTCCCACTTGGCTGGGCCAGTGTCAGCAACTGGGTGCAGTTTTTGTGAGGGTTACTTGAGATGAGGCACCAAAGCACGGAGCTCAGTGCTTGATTGCAGGAAGCGTTCGGGAACTTCCATTTCAGAATCCAACTCGCAGTCCTCTCTTGTAGCAGACCTCTGTGACCCTGCACTACATCGCTCATTCTTTAGTGCAGCGTTTATCACATTGCTGTGCTGCTTGCATCAGATACCTGTCTCCTCCACTGAAGAATGAGCTCTGGGGAGTGCACCTTCTCTCCCCTTCTCCTGGAGTGTCTGCAGCTCACAGTTATTGTATGAAAGCCCCAGAGGTCAACATATAACTGTTCAAAACAGTTCCCAAGCAATGCTAAGGTTCATGAGATTTAGAATCCTGGAAGCAGTGAGTTACTAATGGAATTTTAGTGAAGGGAAAGGAAAGGCCAGGAGATGTGAAGTTCAGGGATGATGAGAAATACGAAAAGTTTGGAAAGAGGTGAGGGGGCTTGCCAAGGTCACACTCACAGTGAGGTGGTCACTCTCCTGGCTTCGAAGCTAGTTGGTGAGGAAAAGATTTAGTTTCTTCTCTTTATAAAGAAGTAACACATATTCAATGTGGAAAAATTAGAAAATTTCAGGTAAGCCCAAAGAAAATAAAATTTATCCTAAATGCCAACCCCCAAAATAACCTCAGCAAATATTTTGTAGTTTATCCATTCAGTCATATGCATATGGCATTTTTTTTTCTGACTAAAGTAGAATAGTCTGTTTCACAACCTATTTTTTTTTAACTTAATAATAATGTTTGATAATCATCAAAACTGCATGGTATTGGAACAAGAACAGACATACAGACCAATGGAATCGAATAGAAAATCCAGAAATAAACCCACAGATTTATGGTCAACTAATCTTTGACAAAGGAGCAAAGACTATGCATTGGAGCAAAGAAAGTTTGTTCAATAAATGGTGCTGGGAAAACTGGGTCGCTACATGCAAAAGAATGAAGCTTGATCACTACCTCACACCATACACAAAAATCAACTCAAAATGGATTAAAGAACTAGACATAAGACCTGAAACCATAAAATACATAGAAGGAAATATAGGCAAAACACTACAGGATTTGCACATCAAAGACATCTTTACAGACACATCACCCAAAGCAGTGATAGTGAAGACAAAGATAAACAGCTGGGACTACATCAAATTAAAGAGCTTCTGCACAGCAAAAGAGACAATAACAAAAACAAAGAGAAACCCCACAACTGGGAGAACATTTTTGCACCCAACACTAATGATAAAGGACTGATCACAAAAATCTGCAAAGAGCTGATGAGACTCAGCAACAACAAAGAAAATAATCCAGTCAAAAAATGGGCAGAAGAGCTAAAAAGAAACTTCTCTGAAGAGGAAATGCAAATGGCCAACAGACATATGAAAAAATGTTCAACATCACTTGTAATCAGGGAAATGCAAATCAAAACTACCATGAGATACCATCTCACACCAGTGAGAATGGCACATATTAAAAAAACTAGCAACAACAAATGTTGGCGAGGATGTGGAGAAAAAGGAACTCTTCTGCACTGTTGGTGGGAGTGCAAACTGGTCCAACCACTATGGAGAGCTGTGTGGAGATTTCTGGACCTACTAAACATAGAGCTTCCATATGATCCAGCAATTCCACTCCTAGGTATTTACCCAAAGGACACAGAAACATCAATTCCAAAGAGCACCTGCACCCCTATGTTTATAGCAGCACTGTTTACAATAGCTAAGCTTTGGAAACAACCCAAATGCCCAAAAATAGATGACTGGATCAAGAAGATGTGGTACATATATACCATGGAATATTACTCAGCATTCAAAAAAGATAAACACATGCAATTTGCAGCAACATGGATGGCGCTGGAAGGGATCATGCTCAGCGAAATAAGCCAAAAAGAAAAAGAAAAATACCAGATGGTCTCACTCATAGCAGGAATCTAGAAAACTTAAATAAGGGACCAGGAAAATGAATATAAGAAAGTGAAAATCAAAATCAACAAAAAACTATGAACCAGAGACACTTTTTGGGGGGTGGGGGGCGAGGGAAGGATTGGGGTCAGAATGGGGCGTTTGCAATTGTATGGGGGAATATAAAAATAAAATTTAATATTAAAAAAAAATAATAATGTTTGAGTAACTTTCTGTGATAGTAAATATTCTTTTACAGCTCAAATTATGAAGCCTCCCAACATGTATATATTTGCTTGTTTTATTTAATCAACCTTCTCTTATTGAAATTTTTAGCTTATCTTTAGCATTTTACTGTGCCAGAAAATTCTATTATGAAATTCATGTAGCTTTGTATTTTGCACGTTGTCGTTATTTCTTTAGTATAATTTCCTAGAAGTGGAATTACTGGTCAGAGAACATGAACAATTTTACAGCTTTTAACACAGATTGTCAAATTGCTTTCTAGAAAGCTTAAAAAAACATTTGCGTTCTTCATTTGCTCTGGAGGAAATAGGTCTGGGTAAATTTATCAACATTAAATTGATCTAATGCCATTTTGCCAAAAAGCAATTCACAAAATGACCAGCTAGGTAGATAGACAGATGGACAAATAGACAGAAAAAGCCAAAGGCAATTGATTAAATATCCAATTAAGAATAATTTAACAAATGTTCTGATTTACATTGTAAAGCAACTTCTATTGCATAGGAAGATTTTCATGTGGCTTTTGGAGCTCGTCATCAAGTGTGAGGACTGGTTTTAATTTTGTTCTTATAGTAGCAGTTTAATGTTTGTTGAAATAAGCATTGCTGGAGTGTGTGTGTGGTGGAGTATGTTCAATAATCAAAAAATTATATTTGCTCATTAGGTATTTTAATGTGAATCTTTCCATTTTTACCCATAACTTTGGAATTCATTTTCTGTTGCCACAATTTTAACTTTTGTATGAGAATTCAATTAATTTCTCAAAGGTCCTTTGACTTTTTTCTAACAATTAGCCAACAACATTTATTATGGAGTAGGAGTACTGCTGTCATTTCTTAGTCCCCCTCTTAGTTTAAAACTAGCATTTTTTGGACTACTCACCAGTTTACTTTTTATCCTTCATCTATGATTTTCTTTGTCTATGTCACATTTGAGGGACACATCATGAGCTTCATTTGGTGTCATCTCTGCTGGGTGCTTGTCCTGCTTTCATGCTGCTTGTGACTTCAATTCAGCTTTTCTACAAGCTTCTACCAAACCATCATATCCCAATTACTCCTTATTAGAAACCAAGATATCAAGATTTCATATTAGATGGGACTGCTTCCTTGGATTTCTTTAGATGCTGGTGAATATCTTTTAAAAAATTTTCTCTTATTTGCAATTTTGACATTTGCTTGCTAATTCTCCAAATCACATATATCAGCCCTTAGTGCATTACTAACAGATTATTAAATTTCAGATGAAAACAATGGGGTAGCTTTGGATACTTTTGCAATGTCATTTTCTGGTTTTCAATTTTCAGTCATTTGGGGCATTCTTTCATCAGCTCCTCAAAGCACATATCAGCTTTAATTTGGATCTCAAAATTAATTGATGTGACTGTTTCTGCCTTTTTCTTGCTTAGCCCATCTTCTGATGTTTGTAAGATTTGAGGACAATTGATGTTTGACTCTTTTAGTTATTTCATATTTGAGATGTGTAGTTGATTTTGTGATTTTATCATCAATATAGAATTTTTGTCCTGAATCATGAACTATATAAATTTTCTGCAAATTACTATCAAGTTGATAGATATTAGTTTTTATTTTTTTCAGCATATAAATCATACATCATGAGTAGAATTAGTGCATCACTGTTTGAAAAAGTGGGGACAGTTCTAAAGGCTTTGTCCCTATGCCAATCCCTATAGCACTCCAGAATCCAGGGATTTTCAGGGTGAATTTGGCAAATTTGCTGACCTAGTGGATTAGCTGGCCACTTGGAAAATTCATGTTTTAGTGAATTCTTTTCCGATAAAACAGCTATGCCCCTTATGAAAATTCTATATCCTTGCATTGGGGCCAATATATTTGCTTTCAATTGCTGCTGTACAAGGCACTGCAAACTTAGCTACAAGAGCACAAATTAATATTCTCACAACTCTGTAGGTGCAAATTCCACTATAGGTCTCATCGGACTGAAATCAAGATGTTGGCACACTGGAGGCCTTAGAGAATTTGCTTCTGCTCATTTGAGGTATGGGCAGAAGTCAATTCCTAGTGATCACATGACTGAGGTTCCTAGTTTTTGGCTGGCTAGAAATGCCGGCCTTCCCAGCTCCTAGAGGACCATATTCCTCTACTCATGGGCAATCCTAGCAACTGAGTCAATCCTTCTCAGCTGACTCAGATGCTGTCTTCTACTCCTTCTGACACTTCTAAGGGCCTGTGTGGTTGAACCGGGTCCACCTGGATGATCTAGGATACCCTCTAATTTTAGGTCAGCTGGTTAGTAACCTTAATTCCCTTTTGTCATGTAACATTTCACAGCTCCCTGGTTTGGGATATGAATCTCTTCAGTGGGACCGCAGTTTACTAACCACGGTCAATGAGACGCTCCAGCTATGTTTATTTTAGACCGAGCTGTAGGGGAGCGATGTACTGGACCCCATGGTGGTTGTGGCGCTGTGTTACCAAAACACTTACCTCCAAATCAGAGTGGGAGTGTCCCAAGCTGTGGTCTGTTCACCAGAGGCCCCCAAAGAATCTTTACTCTTTCTCTTTGGCCTCTGGCAGTCTCTCGTGGTCTCTTCCCCTTGTAGCTATTGCTAGTCCTCTCCTAGCCATCTTCCGTCTCTTAGCGACGCCATCCTATATCTCCGCCCTCTAGGCCCACTTATGCATGCGTGCACACCCCTGCTCCCCGTGTCAACAATCAGGCATGCGTGCCCTGCGCCCTTACACATGCGCGCACGCCCATGCTCCAGGTGTCAACAATCAGGCCTGCGTGCCCTGCGCCCACACTCCCAAGTACCTTCTGCCTTAACACCGTTAAAGCCACAGGTGATAGCCACAGATGCTAGAGGCACAAAAAGCCACACCAATTCATTTACCCTATACCTGCGAAGCAATTTTCCCTATTGCTGCAGCAACTCATACCCCATCAGCAGTGAAGATGCTCCTCAGCTTCCCCACGGTGGATCTGTAGAGTGACTTCATTTTAGTCAGTCCAGTGGCATTACACGCATCTGTAAAGGCAGGAATGGACACAGTGCAGGTTTCCTGATCCAGCAGACTGGGTAAAGGAGGAGTCAGAGTCTTTAGTGGGTTTTTGCAGGTCTTTTATTGGGGTTCACCAGGCATATGGCAGGCAGGTCTTCCCTCCCCAGCAAGTCTTGCTTCACTCCCCAGCAAGTCTTCACTCTATCTGGGCTCTCTGGCGTTCGTTCTGCTGCTTCTCGGCTTCTCTTTTGGCTTCCTCTGCTTCGGCTTCTCCTGGCGTCCCCGTGATGCCGCCCTTAAAAGCACAGTCTTAGCGCAGGTGTACCCACTCCAGGTGCCCACCATCAGGCATGCATTCAGGATCACAGGGTTCCCTCATCTATCCTGATGGCGGGAGGGCAGAAAAGCCTGATATTTTTCCTTACTCTACAGCATCTCATTATTTAATCTTTTTAATGACCACTGAACTATGCACTTTATCATAAATTAATTGACCCTTCAACCATCCTATTTTGTGACTACCTAGTCAAGCCCATTTTTCTCCCATCTCTTTCTTTTTAGATTGTAAGTTTTTCATATATTCTAGATTTAAGTCCTTTGTCATAGATGTGTTTTGCAAATATCTTCTATTCTGGGCTTGCTATTTTCACTCTCTAAATTAAGCCTTTGGATGAACTAAAGTTCTTAATTTTGCAAAATTTCCCTCTAAATGGTTAATGCTATAATGCCATGTAAGAAAATTTCCCCTGTCTCAAAGGTCATTACGTATTCTTTCTTTTTTTCTAGAAGCTTTACAAATTTTCCTTTCACATTTAGAACTATAATCCATCTACACTTGATTTCTGTGTATAGGAGGAGGCAGGTTCAACATTTACTTTTTCCCCCATCTGGATATGCAGCTGACAATAGTGCCATTTTTTGAGACTAATCTTCCCCTCATGGTCCTACAATTTCACATTTCTCATAAATCAAGTAATCACATAGAATGTATATGTGGGCCTGTTTCAGGGTGTTCAACTCTGTCCTACTGGTCTCTTTCAATTAATTCAATACCACGCTGAATTAATTACTGTGGCTCTATTGTTAGTCTTGATATCTGGTAGTGAAAGCAGCTTTGTTCTTCAGGATTCTATTGGGTTTTCTGGGTCCTTTGTATTTTCACATAAATTTTAGAATAAACATGTCAATTTCCACAAAAAAGCTGGGATTTTGGTTGGTATTGGACTGAACCTATACATACACTTAGGAAGATGAACATCTTTATATTTTATTAAATTTCTTTTAGCTAAGTTTTGTAATTTTCAGTGTAAAAGACTTGCACATCTTTCATGAGACTTACATTTGAGCATTTGAAATTTCTTGTTGCTATTGTAAATGTTATTATTTAAAATATTTTTTTACTTTCTGCTTGCCACTAATAAATTAGTTTTTCCTATTAGCCATAAAATCAAGTAATTTTTTTGAATTTACTTTCAATTATAACATTTTGTGGATTATTTTTCCCCTATGTCAATAATTATATTGATAACAAATAATGGCAATTTTACTTTTTCTTTCCAATTCTTATGACAATTTATAGTTCCTCTTGAAGTAGTTATTTATTTAAGTGGTAAAGAGTTCTATGATAGTTTTTTTTAAAGATTTATTTATTTATGCATACAAGAACTGGGGTACAGGCCAGAGATCGGGCCAGGTGAGAGAGAGGATCCACAGAGACAGAGTGGGGAGCAGAACAGGCAGATCTACTGAAATACACTGCTGAGGGGAGCAGCGGGCGAAACAGGAAAAGTCTGCTGCACCATGTTGGTCACCTCCCTGGCCAGGGATCCAACTCGTGCTGCAGTAACTGCCGATTGCTTCACAGTGTGGACACTTAACCCCTTGTGCCACCAGGGAGGCCCCCTACAATAGTTTGAATAGGAATAATGAGCGTGAGCATCTTGGTCTCATTTCTGATTTCCAGGGAAACTTTTTAATGTTTCTCTATAACTCTAGAATCTCTAGATATTTAGAAACTTAAATATTTAAATATTTTGGGATATTCTATAAAAATTAGAAATTCTCTTCTACTTCACAAAGAACTTTATCACAAATGGGTATTAATTTTTATAAAAAAATTTTTTTCATCTATTGAGATGACCATATGATTTTTCCCCTTTGTAAATAAATAAGTGAACATACTTATTATGTTTATGAGGTGATTGGTTTTCATTTGTGAAACAATCTCTGCCTTTCTAAATAAATCCACATGGTCTGATGCATTATCCTTATTGTGAACCACTGGATTCAATTTGCTGATATTTTGTTTAGGGCTTTTGTGTCATGCTTATGGAAGAGACTGGCCAGAAATTCTTTTGTTTTAATGACAGGTGTTGGTATTAAAGCTAGGGTGGCTTAACAGAATGTAGTATGTTCTTTTTTTTAGTTTGTGTAATATTGAAATTATTTATTTCTGAAATATTTGGGCTAATTCACCAATGAAACTATTTGGGCCTAGAGTTTTCTTTGTGTGAAGACTTTGATTAATTTAGTAGATATATGGATATTAAGATTTTCCATTTCTTGTATTTTGCTTTTGTAAATTGTACTTTTCCAGAAAATTTTCTATTTCACCCAAATTTTATGGTATTTTTGCCATAGGAATTTATAATATTATATTATTCATTTTTTAATGTATTTAAGGTCTATAGTGAACTTAATTGCCAATAAATGTAATTGCTATTTTTCCTCTTTTTTGTTTTCATTCTTGCTAGAGATCTATGTATTTTATTATTCTTTTCAAAGACTCAATTTTTGGCTTTGTTGGTTTTCTCTAATGTGCATTTGTTTTCTACTTCATTAAGTTCTGATCTTGTTTTTATGATTCCCTTCCTTCTACTTATTTTGCATTTAATTTGCTGTTCTGTTTCTAAATTACTCAGATGAATGCTTAAATTACTGATTTTTTAACCTCTTATTTCTAATATAAATGTGTGAATTTCTAAGCAAAGATATAGTTTTATCACACATTTTTGCTATGCCATATTTTTGTTATTATGAATGGAAATTTCCATTGTGATTTCTTCTTTGACCCATAGACTATTTAGAAGTTATTTACTTAAACTCCAGACATTTGTTGATAATCTAGTCATTTTTTTTTTGTTATTAATTTCTAGTTTGAAATAAGGTGCTCAGGAAAATTCTGAGTGATTTTAGTTCTTGGAATTTTTTTTGGAAGTTTTTTTTTTTTTAGCAACAATACATGTTCAAAATAAGAAAAATTTCACATGTACTGAAAGAATGCACTTTTTGTCATTAACTTGAGCAATGTTTCACCTATCTCTGTAGGTTACATTTGTTAGTCAATATTTTTTTTCCAGATCTTTCAATCTTTCATACCCTTACTGATTTGGGGTTTTTTTATTTTGTTTGTTTGTTTGTTTTTGGTCTGCTTATTATGGATAAAAAATTTTAATAAATTATTAAGGGACATATGTCAAATATCTCCTCCATGATTGGTTTTGCTTATTTTTCCACTGGTCTTGTCAATTTTGTTTTATATATTTTGTGTTACATGTACATTATATATTAGGTAAAAAAAAAAAAAAAGACAAAACTTGCAAGCTGACCATAGATCTGAGGTACACAGCAGGGGAGGAGGCAGGAGAGGGTTAAAACAGAAGAGGGGATAGCACAGTGGTCTACAGTGATGGGTGAATTGGTGGTGGGAGTTCTATGGGGACTACACCTGAGAGGAGAAACCAAATACTATACAAAAATGAATAATGATTTAAGAAAATAAATTAATTCATTTTAAAAATCGTTATATATTCCTGATGGATGGACACAGCTTCATTATAAATGTTCCTCTTTATCTCCAGTAGTGCTTCATGCTATAAAAATTAAAAATTGGGCCTCCCCTGGTGGCGCAGAAGTTGAGCGCTGGGCTGCGAAGCTGCCCACAGCTTCTGCAGTGCTGGTTTGATGCCCGGCCGCTGGGCATGGGTCCCACATGGTGCTCAGACCTCTCCTGCCGCCCACTGCTCCTCTCAGCAGTGTACTTCGGTCCTTCTGCCTGCTCTGCTCCCCGCTCTGGCTCTGGTGAATTCTCTCACCCTCCCGTGCTTCTGACTATACCCAGTGCTTGTATAAATAAATTAAAAACAAATCTTAAAAAAAAAGTTGAAAAAAATTAAAAATTATAAAAATTGTCTAATATCAGCAGAGTTACTCAGTTTTTGTTTTTGTTTTGTTTTATATTTATCTGTTATCTGTTTTCATCTCTTACTTTCAGTCTTTCATGTCCTTATATTTAAGGGACACTTATTTTTTCCTTTGATTTTTCTTATCCAGTCTGACAGTATTTGTACTTGGAAGTAATCTTTTTATACTTAATATAATTACTTGTATAGCTGGGTTTATATCCACCATGTTTCCATTCTTTTTTGTTTGTCCTACCTGATTTCCATTTTCTCTTGCTCCTGTATTTGATTAATCCAGTATTTTCCCCTCCATTAGATTGTCAGTTATACATTCTTTTGTTCTTCCAGTGGTAAGCTTTACTTACCATAGTTTAATATAAATTGGTGATTTCCCTGTTTTTGAGACAATGCTAAGAATATTCAGGCGGCTCTAAGAAATGCCATAGACTGGGGCCTTATGAGCAACAGCAGAG